CCCGGAACTTCCGGGCCGGAAGCCCGACCCGCACTGACAACACCAACCAATCAGATACTTCCAGGTATGCCGTATAGCCGCTGAGTGAAGAGAATGCGAGATCAACTGAGCAGAGAGACCCCATACACGAGTGGGAATAATACACCTTGATGGGCCAAGTATATTAAAAGGGACTGAAAGGAACGATGGTGTAGGTTAAGGTCTCATCTGGTCGAACAGAAGACTCACATGACGACCGAATGTAGTCATAACGGTGTCTTCAAAATATACACGAGTATTTGGTATGATACTGCACGAACTCAGCTTATGAACACCCTTGCTATACAGCCACACGCCCAATAGGCAATAGCCAAAGTTGTGGAACCTGCAGAGAAGTGCTCGGCACATCCAGAGGAAAGCTCGAATCGGACGGGTTGCTTCATCTACGCCGTAGATTCTACGGGGATTCCCCGTAGATAAAGCATGACCCGTCGGGAAGACGGGGTACCATCTCACCAAGGCATGACATCTAGAGTGGGTAACTCAAGCGGGACCTCAATCGGGCAAGCACCAAAGGCCATGGTGTACGTCTGTATGAATAAGAATCCAGCAAGAGCCGTCTTCGGCCTCTGACGTGAAGACTGTTGAATAATTCAACTTGGCGGGTGAAAGACTCACTCTGACGAATGGGACCGTCAGTAAACTGTTGAAACAGATGCAGTGTACGGCACCGAAGTAAATCCACTGCTCTGGATCGAACCATAACCTGTAAAATCGATCCAAGTGAAACTATAAAAGTGTTGTGTGTAATCTAAGCTAGACTGTCTAGCACGTAACTATTACGATAAAGCAGAAATGAGAGCTGCGAGGAGGCTCAATTTGGCAGCTCTGATGACGACTTCTCGCCAGATGGTACCATTCCTATGGACCAATGCTTGAGACATTCCCAAGCACGTCATTATCAAGCAAACACCCGAAATTTGGGACTCCCACCACATGCTATAGATGCAATACGTCACTATCGGAGCATACCTGATCGAGTAGGACTCTTATCAGGCAGTCATGGATAGTGTCACAAGCTTACAATGCATAACCCAAATAGGGAGTGTAAAGGGCGGCAGTGAGACAAGAGGTGATGGAGATGACAAAGTAGACAATGAAGAGTATATAATTCTTTATTGGGAGTCCATCGACCTTGTGGGCCGGGGGAGGATGAGGTAACATGTCGAACTCTTGGAGGTCCCACATGAAGTGAAAAGAGACGATGAATGCCAGACAGAGACCACGCAAAAAGTCCAGTAACGGAGCACGTGGCTTGGGGCCATGCTGTATCTTCGACTCGTCTCCTCCAATAGCGCCCATTTCCATGGCTTTATCGTCCGATTCAGAGATCTGAACGCGAATTCAATACACCGTCGACTGCCGAAAGAAGAACACTAATCTCACTACAGACAGATCTAGCTCGATGAGCCCACCTTTTCATATTCAAACCACACACGTTTGTACTGCGCTCGCTCGGCTATGGACAACCAATGCACCAGACTCAGGCTTGCAAACATGGTGCAGCTCGCGATTAATAAGACTTTGAGATCTGAGACGGGCCCTTCAGGACTGTTACCGGTGGCGCTCATCTTGAAAACGAACTGTCTCGACGAAATGAACGGTACCACCCCCGCAGTATATCAAGTTGGATTACTCAATGACACAGATCCTGTGAACCTATACTCAGTTTGAAAAGTAGCTTTTAGATTGTGGGTGGTTCCACTAGGGTAGAGTAAAATAACGAGACAAATACAGTACAATAGTGAGAGTCCCTCAGAGAGGAAGCTGGTGGAGTGTATACAGCAGCAGTGAACATGTTCAAATCTTCTCTCGAAACCGCACGTGTAAGCATCGAGCAAAGCAGCCACTGCTTAACAGTGGAAATGGCCAGTCTTATAGTTCGACGGATAACAATACTCCATATGATGACTCGACCGTTGTTGACCAAGGCTTGGCAGTGCCTCTGTCGTAGAGGGCATCACGTATCTCCACTCCAGCGATCTGACTTGGGAAAGTAATGGTTTATGTATGGTGAAGTTCTCCTGTCGGCTCTGTCGATGGTTTCATGATGAAACCATCGAAGGCAGATGAAACTTTCATCTGCCTTCGCTGCAAACGCTCAGCCAAGACCAGCCGAAAAGTTACCACCATTTCGAGTAGACAAAAAGTCCGAGTATGAACAAACCGGGTAACATGTGTCCCAGGTACACCGTCAAGGACTGAGAAAAAAAGGACGTATGTTGTGACTCGAGTACCTAGGTATCCAGGGGGCAGCAACAGCAAGTGTATCTTACATGTCGTCCGAAAAACGTGAAGACTGTGTCCTCGAAGTGCATTGGTCTGCCCGGTATCAACTCGATCGCCGAAATCTTATGAGCACCGACGCTATGGAGCCAGACACCGAGTAAGCAATATCCAAGGTTGTGGAACCTACAACGACAGCGAGCTTCTCCTCAACCTTCGTCGGGTGCTACGAAGAAGAAGCCTCTCTCGGGAGCCTATTTTAAAAATCCCTTAAGGAAACATTTTTGAGATCTTCATGCATGGGACCACCAAATCTCACCCAAACGTCTCTTGAAACCATCAACTTTTTGAGGTTTAAGAATCCTTCTCGGAGTATTCAGGGAGTCTTTCCGGAAGAGCTCCGTTTTCACACGCTAAAGTGTGTTACAAGCTCCAAAAAGGCCACAACCTGTTGCGAGAATCTAATTTTCATGAAGTTTTCGCTTTAAGGAACAGAACCCCCTCGGGCCCCGAGGCTGGGGCCCCGAGACTCGGGGACAGATTGACGCGGGCTCCGACAGGTTTCTTTCCCAAACATTTCATACTCTGCTCCCAAGTTGTCGAAGTCGACTAGGCGAAGATTCACCATTAGTGGAAGATGAACACATGAGTTCGTTTGGTAAAGTGGGAGTTCCACTGTGCAACCTCTCGTAGGACTTGGCAGCTGTTGAAGACTCGAAAAGAGTGAGTCCGTCCGCGACGCGATGAACTGCCCAGCCATTCAGTGTGACCAATCGCAATTATGGATTGAGGGTGTGTCAATCAGTCTCGCTGCGGAGGCCATGAATTCGAAATTAAAATGATTCGAAAGCCAAATCGTAAAGAAGCTCATTGAGCTTAGCTCAAGAAGCCAAATTCCTCGAGGGGAAGGTTATGGAGGACTTTCCGTTCTCATAACGGAGTTTCGCCATCGCGACGGACCTTGCTCCGCCCCCGCCCGACTTGTCGGGTATAAGTCTTGATTCAAGAAGGGAGAACCTCTGAGGCGGGCAACCTGTGATAGGCTGTGCTTCTTGAGAAACTCATGGATTATGAGTGATTATAAGAGGTTCTCATACCTCGAGGAGTGATGCCTCACGGAGACTTTTGAAATAAGCCCCCGGGTACGTCACCCAACATGAGCTTTCGACTCGAAGGTTTCGAGGATCACAAGGAGACTCCTCGATGTCCAAGAGGTGCTCTTAAACGGAGCCCAGAATCTTAAAATCCGGTGAGGTTCCTGAACCCCTCCTGATAAGAGGTTTTTGACCTCACGAAGCTTTTCTTCAAAGAGTTTTCAGGAGAGGTCCCTATTGTTAAACTGTAGACTAATAGGCAAAAGACAGACATTGATTGGCGTACCATGGGATAACATCAACTGTGGGACGGTCAGTGGGGACCTCGAGGGGGAACAAGCCGCCCATCATCGTGAAAAGCTGGATGGAGATGAAACCGACGAAAGCAATACGGGGGACCTGAGTAAAGGACGAAGAAGAGGATGCGATGGTGATGGGAATACGATGGAAGATCCGTCGAGCAGAAGAGGCAGTATCATCTTAGGGGGAGGCTCAACTTACTCTGATGAAGATCATTGTGAGAAGGGTATTGAGCGTTATGCAGTGGATGGCACCGAAGTATATGGGAGATCTGGGAATGAAGATATACCTATCACAAGTAATGACAAGAACAACCAAATGATGCTCGTAAGCGTGATTACGTTAGGGCGCTTATAATCCCTGCTGCTACTCCCAGCTTGAGTGTTCTAATGATGAGGTTTCTCCATTTTATTCGATCCTCGTGGACTATCGCCAAGGATAGTCCAACGCAGAGCATTATCGTGCACACACCGGATCTCTCGGATTCCCAACATAGCATGTAAATGCACGATAGAGTGACGACGGGGAATCTGAAGTTGACTTGTCGAATGAACAACGTTCCCCTACAGATGACATTCTTACAGTAAGTATTGGATCCATGGATGGACGAGGCGGCTGAGATTTCCCCAGAAGAATGATACGCTGTAGAAGGCCAAGAAATACAAGTAGTTTGTGATCGGTAGATTATAACCAGCCATAGCGGGCAAGTTAGGAATGATCTCAAAATCAACGAGTACATGGATCAAGTGGAATGTAACGACGAATAGTATAGTAATTCCTCTGAAATAGTCCACTGCTGAATATCTCGGCTTCAAGTTCGCCCCATCGGGAGACGACCCCTTCTCAGCATCAGATAGCGGGTCAAAGCCCTCCGATGTTCCTTTATGCATCGCACGTTCCTTCCGTGTGAGGAAGTGGAAGGTACAGAGGCTGCAAGAAATAATGAAACCGAAGAGGGTCAAAACAGCAAACGTTTTCGACGAGGGGAGACTGAAATTGTACCACTTGTCGCCGACCACGAAAGTGGTTGGGTCAACGAAGTCCAACTCATCTTGTAACATGAAGATTAGTCTAAGAAATTTAACTGAAGAAATCGAGATACGACATCCTTCAGAGACCTCATGTGACCCTTACCCCCCTCTTTTGAGAAAGACGTTGGGCAACGAATTATACCCAATAGTAATGAGGGTAACCCTTCCTGAACCCAACCCTTGGTGTGTAATGATGGAAGATGTGGCGATGGTTTCCGTGAGCCGTGACCTTTCTCACAGCAACTGTGGCTGTAGTTACTACAGTGTAGTAGCTGCCACGACGCTTGGCCTATAGCTGGGACTTGATACTGAATTATCCTCGATACATTGAATCGAGGCTAATTCGGTATGTAATTCAGTCAGGATATTCAGGCGAATGTATTACATTCGCCTGAAAGGACGCTCAGATGCATTAACAGTAGAGGTAGACTCCATTACTGTGAGATCCACTCCCGTAATTTTGGCTTTGCCTCAAGAATAGCTTCATCCGAACCACTAAAGAGGACAGGGTGGTCCAATATACCACTCTCCTTCTTCCCATCTGAAGAAAGATACGCTGTGAATGGTGAGCCAACCGGAGGCTCAACGAAGATGAGCCAATTAAATGCCTCCTACGATGGAGCCAATTTCTAGACCGATGCGCTAAACATCAGCGATCACCGAGCAATGCGCAAAACGGAGAACTCGCAAAAGTCCAAGCAGGAAAGTGTAACACATAGACACATCCACTTCAAGGGTCGAGGGACAGGGATGTGATCCAGATAAAGAAGAGCAGATATGCAAGGTGTAAACTACCGAGCATAAGACCAACACCCAAGTCCCGCTCCTCCAGATTCCTCGATGATATAAACGCTACCGCACCCGCATCTATAGAAATTCTGTCACTAAACCACACAGATCCTGTGAACCGATGCTCAGTTCAACAGAGGTCGAAAACTACCCTCTCGCTTGTAAGTGGTTACCATAGGGTAGCGCAGTCAAGTTCAAGTAATAGCAAAATCGATGATTTAAGACACTTCCCATCGTCATACCTCTTCTAGTGAATTCTAGTTCATCGTGGCAAAGAGCAAAAGGGCGAATATGAGTTCATGACAGAAGCAACCGTCAAGGATTGAAATCAATAGACCGTAGCGCTTCAGTGCGGCGATACCATGCCTAGCCTAGGATACAGAATATGGAGTCTTCGGAAGAACCTCGAACCTGGGAGGAGGGAAAACGTAGCGAAACGATAGTGTCAAAGAAAAGCCGCCGGAAGGAGGCCTTACAGGGGGGGCAGCCCCCTGTATCGCGACCTGTCCTCCGAAGTCTTCGGACCGAAGAGTAATGATAAGCACACCGAGGTGGCATCACAGCTGCTCATGAACAGGAATTGCCGCTTATTGAAATATTCAGCAGCTAGCGTATCTGAGAGCAACCAACACCGGCATACCCTCATCACGGCTGCAAGTGGACCGAACGTTATCAAGCTAACAGGATGTTTCCAACTTGGAAATTCCAAGAAGATCACATCATGAGCTCCGAGTGTTCATGCAACCACCGTGGTTGAACCACGACTAGAGGATCCGTATCCCGAACTGGCCAACCCAACAAACAGTTTCCCGCTATAGAATAAAATTCAATGGGAGGTGGGCCATAATGAGCAGGGAAGCTACCACCATTTCGAGTAGACATGAACTCCGAGTATGAATAAAGCGGGTAGCATGTGCGCAAGGTAAACCGTCAAGGACTGAGAAAAAGGCGGACGTATATCATGACTCAAGTGCTCAGGTATCCAGGGGGGAACAACAGCAAGTGTATCTTACATGTCGTCCGAAGAACGTGAAGACTGTGTCCTCGAAGTGCATTGGTCTGCCCGGTATCAACTCGATCGCCGAAATCTTATGAGCACCGACGCTATGGAGCCAGACACCGAGCAAGCAGTATCCAAGGTTGTGGAACCTACAACGACAGCGAGCTTCTCCTCAACTTCAATTGGGTGTTACGAACAAGGGGCCTTCTCTAAAGCCGTTTTTCGAAAACTTCTTTCGAACTGTGTAGATGGCGGACAGAATAAGTCCTGGAAAAAATCCCCCTGAAGAATTTCCGGCAGAAAGAAAACAAAAAATAAGAAAAAAATGAAGAATGACGAATAAATAGAGACGGAGATACAGAAAGCCCTCGAATCCAGGGAACTCAAGTTGCAGATTTGGGATAGAAGAATATCGGTCGTCACCATTTTGGCTATAGTTTGACATTCCAGGGGAGCAATACTAGGTTACACAACAAGACATACGAGAGATTTCTGAGCTTTGCTACAACGTCATGCATGTTCCACAACGCCCTATCCACGCATTAACCCGGCATTTCACAGCCGCATATGCCCTCGTCCGAGATGACGCAGACGAGTCGTCCGCGATGTGATTAACAGGTTTCCAACATGTACTCACATGTTCCTGTCGTGTCGCAGCAATCGTGAGAATCGTACATTTCACGAGCTAGGCCACGGCAACTGTGTCCTTACTTTTTGGGCCCGAGTCAAGCCGCCTGAGGATGCAGGGCCTGCATCCTCGGCCTGCACTGCAGGCTGTATTGACCGGGCCGCTTCAAACTCTAGCGCTCCCGCACTAGGAGTTTGGCAACTCTCTAGAGATTGAGTCATATCATATGACTCATATGTAATATAACTCTGCCTCACTTAGGCACTATCACTAACGCTGAGAATCCACACAGGGTGCACTAATACAGTGACTGCGTTGCATATCCTCTCGGCATCAACATTCAACAAGCACTAGTGACTTTAAATCTCGGTCCCAGACATCGAACTGTCTGCAAGACTTGGAGTCCGAGTATCTTCTGGATCATTCTTCACTTGAGAAAGACGTCACAAAAGATCTTATTAGTCCTCAGATCATCCCGAAAGAAACAATGTTGTCATCGCGTGAAAAGTGCGCACTGCAGACTGCAGAAGCGTAGATCTGATGTCACCCACTTGCGACACTTCAAGTTTTCGGGGAACCACCCAGACACGGGGAGGAAACTACTGACGGAAATAATCGCATCGTGGCTAAGGATGAGGTTGCATGTTAGCTAGGCTGCTAGGCTTCAACCTGATGGTAGAAAAACGCACAAAGAAGCCTCCAATTCGCCACAGGATAGTCAAGTCTCCAATATTCTTGGTTCGGGCGTGTGCTTCACGCATCTGAATCGGAAGGCAGATTGTGTTGTGTTTGGGAGGTCAAAAGAAATTTCGAACAGGAAGATGAAAATTCTTGTTCTATCAGCCACCCTGCTTTAGAGAAGCATCCTTGAGCTCCTTACGCATGAGACCACCAAATATCACCCAAAACGCCTTTGAAAGCCTTCTTTAAGGAGGGTTCTTGAAACCATCAACTTCTTGAGGGTTAAGAATCCTTCTTGAAGTAGCTACCTATTCATCAAGCCTTTCCGGAAGAACCCCGTTTTCACACGCTAGAATGCGTAACAAGCTTTGAGAAACTCACAACCTATTTCGAAGATCTGCTCTTCGTAAACTTTTTGCTTCAAGAAAACTGAGCTTCCTCAGGCCTCGAAGATCAGGGGCAGGTTAAGGCAGCCTTCGACACGTTTTCACATACTTTGGAGGTATGTCAAAACCGTGAAAGTGAAAGTATTACTTTCACTTTCAATACTTCGCTCCGCTCCCGATTTGCCCGAGTTGACTGACCGAAAGTTCACCATTTGTGGAAGATGAACAGACAAAGCCGCCTCAATAACCTAGACAGGGATTCCTCCATCACCCTGCTTACTAGGGACTTCAGAGCTCTCCCTCAATAATGCTTCATGAGACAAAATCCAGCTGCCGCTGCTAAGCTCCGACAATGGGAAAGCAAGCTGCGAAGCAGGGAGTGGCTCCCTGGGAGCCGCTCGGCCGGTTCGACCGCACGAAGCCGCAGAACTAGCCGAGATTGCTGCGCAATATTGTTCTCGTTCGAAGGCTAGTCGAACGATTCGCGAACGTGTTTCTCGTGTTGTGTGTTTCTGCAGCTACTGGGTGGGAGACATTTGTGAAATCCGGACCAGTAGCTCAGATGCCCGACCGTGCTCAAACCCCTCCTTTCAAGAGGTTCTTGAACCTCACGAAGCTCTTCTTCAAAGAGATTTTTGGAGAGGTCCCTATTGTTAAACTGTAGACTAATAGGCAAAAGACAGACATTGATTGGCGTACCATGGGATAACATCAACTGTGGGACGGTCCATGGGGATCTCGAGGGGGAACACGCGGCCCATCATCGTGAAAAGCTGGATGGAGATGAAACCGACGAAAGCAATACGGGGGACCTGAGTAAAGGACGAAGAAGAGGATGCGATGATGATGGGAATATGATGGAAGATCCGTCGAGCAGAAGAGGCAGTATCATCTTAGGGGGAGGCTCAACTTACTCTGATGAAGATCATTGTGAGAAGGGTATTGAGCGTTATGCAGTGGATGGCACCGAAGTATATGGGAGATGTGGGAATGAAGATATACCTATCACGAGTAATGACAAGAACAACCAAATGATGCTCGTAAGCGTGATTACGTTAGGGCGCTTATAATCCCTGCTGCTACTCCCAGCTTGAGTGTTCTAATGATGAGGTTTCTCCATTTTATTCGATCCTCGTGGACTATCGCCAAGGATAGTCCAACGCAGAGCATTATCGTGCACACACCGGATCTCTCTGATTCCCAACATAGCATGTAAATGCACGATAGAGTGACGACGGGGAATCTGAAGTTGACTTGTCGAATAAACAACGTTCCACTACAGCTGACATTCTTACAGTAAGTATTGGATCCATGGATGGACGAAACGACTGAGATTCACCCAAAAAAACGACACAGCATAGAAGGCCAAAAAATACAAGTAGTTTGTGATCGGTAGATTGTAACCAGCCATAACCGGGAAGTCAGGAATGAGCTCAAAACCACCGAGTACCCAGATCAAGTGGAATGTAACAACGAATAGTATGGTAGTTCCTCTGAAATAGTCCACCGCTGGATATCTCGGCTTCAAGTTAACCCCATCGGGAGACGACCCCTTCTCAGCATCAGATAGCGGGTCAAAGCCCTCCGATGTTTCTTTATGCATCGCACGTTCCTTCCGTGTAAGGAAGTGGAAGGTACAGAGGCTGCAAGAAAAAATGAAACCGAAGAGGGTCAAAACAGTAAATGTTCTCAACGAGGGGAGACTGAAATTGTACCACTTGTCGCCGACCATGAAGGTAGTTGGTTCAACGAAGTCCAACTCTTCCTGTAACATGCAAGGTAATCCAAAGAAATTAACTGATGAAATCGAGATGCGACACCCTCTTGGTCCTAGCATCTAGAGGCTTTCTATCACCCTCACCTCCCACTTCTGAAGAGGCAGGACTTTGGGACATTATATCCAATAGTAATATGAGGCACCCCTTCCTGAACTCCACGCTCAACATTCTATGATGAAAGGTTTGGCAATAGTTTTTGTAAGCCAAGATCTTCCTCACAGCTACTGCGGCCTGTACTGCATCTGCTCCTGTTGCAAACGCTGTTGATATAGTAGCTGCCACGATGCTTGATCCATAGCTGGGACTTGATACTGAATAACCAAGGCAATCTGCACTCTCTACGAGTCTTATCCTATCAATACCTGTCCTCCTGACACGGGTGGTGGTGGAGGCGCAAATGTTTGTTGCATTTGAGGATATCCAGCTGGCATCATGCCTTGAGGAGGAGCTCCCATCATACCCATCATCATCGGCATATAGGCAGCAGCAGCAGCCCCTGGGGCTGGCGGGAAAGGGAATCCCCCCGGGAAGCCTGAAAGAGTCACTTGCGTAGAAACCCCGATTAATCGATGTACGTCAAAGTCTCTGTCCAAGCCGCTCATTCAGATTAGAACACACTATCATGAATCCTCTCACTCTACATGTAACAATACTAATTCAGTGATTCCCGCTCACTACCTGGGAATTCCGGAAGAACTTGTCCGAAACCAGCCTCACCCTGTGGCGTGACCATTCGCCTGAAAGGACGCTCAGATGCATTAACATTAGAGGTAGACTCCATTACTGTGAGATCCACTCCCGTAATTTTGGCTTTGCCTCAAGAATAGCTTCATCCGAACCACTAAAGAGGACAGGGTGGTCCAATATACCACTCTCCTTCTTCCCATCTAAAGAAAGATACGCTGTGAATGGTGAGCCAACCGGAGGCTCAACGAAGATGAGCCAATGAAATGCCTCCTACGATGGAGCCAATTTCTAGACCGATGCGCTAAACATCAGCGATCACCGAGCAATGCGCAAAACGGAGAACTCGCAAAAGTCCAAGCAGGAAAGTGTAACACATAGACACATCCACTTTAAGGGTCGAGGGGCAGAGATGTGATCCAGATAAAGAAGAGCAGATATGCAAGGTGTAAACTACCGAGCATAAGACCAACACCCAAGTCCCGCTCCAGAGCCTTCAAGTTCTGACTATTATGACCAATGAATACACCTACGGAAAAATATGATATACGGCAGCCCAGTGACACTTACGACTCACCAACGAGTGTCGCAGGCAAACGAATAGGTTCCTCATCTCCAGGTACTCCGAGCACCTGAGAACAACCAATTCATACCACACCTTGATCAAATCTACCCACCATAGGGATCTGCGCATTAGCTCCTGCCTCGCGACTAAAAATGAGATAAAATATCGCCGATCGGGCAACCCCAACAAAACCTACTTCTTCAACCATTCCCGTATCTTCTCCTTAGCTTGCTCGATAGCGCCAGCCGGACCAGTGATCTGGACTGGACAGTTTCTTGCGTCTTTGTTAGACTGATCTGAAGCAGAACCGCTGAGCCCCATAGAAATCTCATCGCTAGAAACGTGCCAATTCAGGCGACTACACTCCTCCAAAAAATGACCTAAGAACATCTCGTTTTTCGCAAATCCCTCTAAGACTAGGTTGAGTGGACCTCGAGCATATGCCTTCTAATATCCCATTAGCTATAACGCGTAAATTTCGGCCCTCATCTTTCGGTCATTGCCAAGAACGGGAAAAGCGTTACCATAACGCTACAAACCATCCTTGGATGAGCAAATTATTTTCACTGCGAATGTAATACGTAAAACAAAAGCAAAATGGTGATAGTAAAATCCGTAGAACGTAATAGGAAAAACAAAAGTGCATACGTTCAACGTATGAACTCATATTTTTACTCCGAAAACTGCGAGTCGAATATTAGGGAAGTCGTATTTCCAATAGTATTTTTGATCATTTTGAAGACTGTATGGCACGAGAGTGTTCGAGTGAAATGCCACTACGAAAATATGTTCGCTTTCTTCAGCGGAGCTCTGTAGGAGCTTATTCACAAATTCGGGTAGAAGTGTTCAGAAATCAACAACAATTTCCCGAATTTTCCTCAGAGTTTCTGCGTTGTCGCCAACACATGCATATTTTCCCAAACTGAACACCATTATTACCAACATGTACTTGGCAACCTGTTTCTCCTTCTAGTAGTTTCACATTACTTCCCTGTGGTCCGATAAATGCACCTGCGAACACAGCTCAACCTACTCTAAACCCTTCCTCTCCACCTCAAACCACTCACCAACGTCCTTGAAGGGAATCAAAATCTCGTTCCCATCCTCTTCAATCGATCCTGTAGAGCCATTCTAAAACGACAAGATTCACATAGACCAAATTTCTCTGAGACCGCATGTGCCATGTACTACTACTACAACTACTACCACTACTACTACTGCTAATACCACTACTACTACTACTACTACTACTACTACTACTACTGCCACTACTACTACAACTACTACTACTACTACTACTACTACTACTACTACCACTACTACTACTACTACTACTGCCAATACTACTACTACTACTACTACTACTACTACTACTACTACTACTACTACTACCACTACTACTACCACTAGTATTCGCACAACCTTATCACCTGCAGGCCTCCAGACTTCAGAGGATCATTTTCTTCAGCTAGGTTGTTGATAAGGTCGGCGTATTCTTGATCAACCTACCAGCGAATCAATCACACACAGGCTTTCCATCATCACCAATGTACAGTGTGGTACTCAACCATATAGATCAGTAATTGTCCAAAGCCCTACTCTACTACCTTAGCCCTCTCCTCAGCCTCCTCTCGCCACTCCTTAGATTTCTGCTGAGCCGTGCCCTTTTGAGGACCTAATACCGACACCGCCTCAACGACCCATTGTTAGAGCACTTCCTCGTACAGTCAATAGTAGCATGCCCCTTATCCCCACAGATATCGCACTTAACATCAGCCATCTTATACGACATCTCCACATTGTTGAACCTGTTACACTATACCCGTCAGACCAATCTACCTCCACCTACTCTGGGCACTGGCTTGCATGGTGGCCCATAGCCTGGCATAGGCCACAACGTATGTGCTGCACTTGAGTGGTATAACCATTCACCACAGCCAACTGCTCCAAACCTGATATGCGATATGCTACTTCCCTCCCGAGTTCACCAACTCCCCTTACCAAGGGCTCTAGCTCTGGCAAAGTCAGGGTGGGTCGGGTCCAACAATGGTTCCAATAAAGCAGTTGCCTTGATCAAGTTGACTTCAGTATCGCCTAATTCGTAAGATGAATTCACAGAGGAGTGGTATAGCAAAAGTGCACATAAACATATCTTACCCTCGATATGAACGTGTTGAGGCATATTCTGCTCTTCTATGGTCTGATTCATCGCGTTGATTCCCTTCCCTCGAATCTCAATACGACACCCCGACTCCATCTGAACATCAAACGAGTCCACCCAATCTTGACATTCCCATCAAGTCACCTGTAAACGCTTATGGTTAGTTCCTCGTGCGCCCACGATGATCGCCATGAACGGTACGTCGGGATATTTTTTCTGCGGTATGATGATCTTCCGTACCAACCTGCCAAGCACAATGCCTTACGCCCTTCCAAAAACTCGACCGACCTAGCCTTGTTCCACGTCTCGGGAGGTATGTAGTCTCTCACAGTAGCCATCATATACCTACGCTCAACACCTTCCCCTGTATCGATCGATTCAACCCGATTACCGGACTAGCCTATTATGCTCTCCTTCCATTGCTTTCTTCACTCTAGTAGTACGATCATTCGTCCGAGTACCAAGTTGGTCATACCTCAAAAATGATAACACTATATCAACTCCACCCGAGATCATCCTGACGACTCACGTTGGCGGTGGAGACGGTGGTCGAATATCTGGGTCGCCCAACTCCAACCTTATCGGTTCAGCTCTCAGCTTATTGTCCACTACAAAGATTCAAATGACCGCCTCCTATAGGGTGCCCCACTAGTACAGTCCTCCAATCTTATCTCCCTCATCATCTGATCGATCTGCTTCCAGCCCAGACCACACGGTACGTCCAGCAAAGGCAACGGCTTATACGGTTTGTCATCCACCGTTGACAAACTGAAGAATTAGTATTCAACTACATGAAGTGCCTCGAACCTCCGACGCGGATGATACATAACGACCTTTGCCTTGCACACGATTCACACTGATGAGTCACTCGTCAATCAAGAGTTTGAATGAAATTGTTTTTTTCAATTGAAAAGCCACACTATATATAAAGGTCGCACGAAATCAAAGCTAACAGCCAACATAGTTCAGAAGTGCACCAGGACCATCGCACTCCAGCTACTACCGTTTGCCCAGTTTGATGTGCTTCCTGGGCCCCCATCGCGTATCACGCTTCCTCCTCTTCCCTGCTATCATTATAATACCACCAGCATCAGCTCCAACTACTGGTACTATCTGGTACCCACCATCGGTGGAGATGATCTCCTCAGACATGATACCACCAACAAATGATGGGGAATAGCAACTACTCTCTGCAAGGCTCTATCACGCAATATCAAAATCCATCTTACACCGAGTGAAATTCAACCCTACCCTCTATATTGATAACTCGACGACTCCTGCAGATTTAAATGACTTGCTCATCATGATGCACGTGTGAACAATAGAAATAGATCACAACGGCGCTCGCGATCGACATCTCGGGGATGAAGTTAACCAAGTCGGACAACTCCGACCAGATTCCCAATGGACTGGAGAAGACGCGGAGTATGGTACTGAGCCACATAACACCGATTTGGCCATAAAGTTGGGTATATCAAAATTAGTCTCTGATGTACTCAAGTCTCTGAAAGACTCCGATTCAGTGGACGGGATGGCGCCGCACATACCAAGGGCCTGAACAAGAAAACCAATTCTAGGTCGAGTCAATTTAGTTGACATCAGTGATAGATTATGCTGTCGTGCACAACTGACTTTTCCGCCTCTGTTCCGGAAAGGGCGTGACGCCACTGTACTCACCAGAGTAATTGATCGGGATTTACGTGCATGTTCATGAAATTAGCATGATATTTGCATGAAAGAGGATGTTGCCGTCTCGTCCGTTGTACGACCGTCTACTTCCGTCTCGTGATTCCCACGTGACTGGCATCCTGTTGTTATCCCACTGTTAACCTCTACTCCTATATTGAGTTATGGCCAGTATCAAGGACACCAAGTCTGATATAGAAGAGGACGATAGAGCATATGGTGCATCATCCGAGAATAAAAAAAGGTTCTCGTTCTTGGCCGACGCCGTCATGGGTGCCGAAGTTGACGCTCGAACCGATGATGACGAATACCTCTCAGAAAAGTCATTGAGACGCTTGGAGGATTCACATCAAGCCGTGATTACCTTGCTCGGTTTAGGCCAGTTCGCTCCCTATAACCAGACTACGGGTCTGGGGCTGCTTCTGCCTTCGGGCAAGCAGGTATATTCTTTCGAGGCCTACTGCAAGGGTTGGGGTATTCCAAGGGGAGCGGAATGGACTGAGTCTCTATGGCGGAAGGTCCAATCCTGTTCCCGGTTGAGCCGACTGGCTTCCCCTTTGACTCTCATGCTCCTCAGCTACGTCGCCTCTGCTAACATTTCCCGGAGGGTTTTGGAATGCTGCCTAGCCAAGCATAGCAACTTAATGTCCTGGAAAACGATCGACCTGGCTGAGGAGGGCGATAAAGTCGAGGAGCAGAAAATGGCTACCGCTGTGGGTCGATGGTTATCAGAATGCAACAAGGTTCTTGCGGATGCTACCAAGCGGGTCACGGAGGAGTTCAAGGTCAAAGACACTTCGGAGATTCTTCGGAGATGGTGTAATGTCGCGCCTAAGAGCCATCAAACTTGGTCAGACTTCTTTGCCAAGGAACGTATGCTCTATGCTCAGCTCGAAGGTGTTGAGCTGATTGGTACGGCGTGGCAGGTGAGGCGTGATAAACTCCTGAGGGCCCTATCGATCTATCCCTATTTCAAGAACGAAGTTGCGAAAGCTCAAGAGTTCCCGTCGCTTAAGAAAACCAAAAACATTGAGGGTTTCATCAAGGCACTGGAAAATCTAGCTGAGAGGCATAGTCCCTTGAGTCTGGATGTGGTTCTGGGCGTTGTGGGGGAAGAGAATGCGCGAGGGGTGGCAGCACGGAAACCTGGCCAAGACTACAAATCGAGATTTCAGGGGCACGACCAACCTGCAGGCTTCAAGAGAGATAGCTCGACTGTTAAGACCGAAGGAGTTGAAAACCCACGTCGGCTTCGATAACCACTTCAAAAGGCAAGAAGGTTCAGAACTGTTTCGAGTGCGGCCAAACGGGTCACTTCAAGCGTGATTGCCCGAAGAAAAAGGCCACTACCACAATGGCTGGAGAATCTAGCTCATCGGAGAAAAGAAGTGGAGCTGCGGGTGGACAAAAGACCACACGTAGCGGACATACTTATGTGCTCTCCGACAAGTTCCACTCGACGAGCGACCTTCATATCGAGAACATCCAGTTCACAGGATCTGATGATGGCCCTAAGGTGCTCCGTGCCTGTTTGGACACGGGATCGACTATTAATATTTGCTCCGACAAGGCTGCCACCGAGCTCCGAGCCAACATTGTAGACCTAGGTCACGACGCCATGACGGCTTCGTCTCTGGGGGGTCCAGTCAAGTTGACTCGCATGGCAGAGCTCCAGTTGGCTGCAGCCGATAGAGTGATCGATTCTCACTTCTATATACCGGATGCCAGCTCACCGGAAGGTGAGGGCATGTCACAATTCGACGTCTTGATTGGAAGGCCTACGTTGGAGGGTCTAGGATATCGGCTCATACAAGTGAGCGAAAACGGAACCACGGATCTGGGGAAGCAGGAAGATAAGCGGCGGGCTACAACGCCTGAATTCGTGGACTCCGTTTTCGAAGAGGACCCTCTTGAAAATTTCGTAGCATACAGTAAGCCTACAACGAGCATCAAGGTTGACATTGACCCCAATATGCCCATCGAACCACTAGTTGCACGAGGAGTACGATATCTAACTACCAAATATATATCGTGGACGAGGGTACCAGGCAATAAGTGGTACAGGTTCAGAATCCGTCCAATAGATGTGGTGGGAGGTGATGTGCAGGATTGCGACGGTCAGACCCATGTATTTGAGTTTGACTGGGAAAGTGCTCCGTCTTCCGAGGAGCAACATCACGGCCATAAGCAATACGACTACTCTGCGCAGCTGATCTCCCGACTGGATGATGAACAGCGCGATATCTTCGCGGGAGAAATAGATGAGTATTTGAGGAGGAAATGGTGGGTGACGGAGGAAGAGTCTCACATCCTCGGTAGTGATCCTGATGCAAGCGTAGATGGTCAAGATCCTATCGTGGTTTTTCCAGTGATATCTGAAAGTGCCTCAACTCGGGTTAGGCCTTGTGCCGATGCCCGAGGAGCTAATAAGACGTTGCCTCCAGCCGGATACTATGATCTTCCTATCGCTGACTGTGCACTCAAGCTGCTCTCCTCTCCTAGCGGGTACTTGCAGTACAAGGATATATCGAAGGCCTTTTATAGGTTGACCGTTCGTCGGTCAAAGGCTTTGGGTCTAACCATCAACCGTAAGAAGTATCTTACCCGGAGAGTCGCCTTCGGGGTGCGGTTTGGGCCGCTCGCGTTGAGCTGTTTCACTACTGCGCTCATACATTCTGTCTACTCTGCTCTGCTTGATGAGGATTGTCCGGAGCTCTTCCCAGAAGAGAGGGCTTCCTACATCAAGGGCCTTACACTGTTGGTATACTATGATGATTTTATGGTCAGCGCGACGAGTCCTCAGCTCGGGGAGTTGGTATCCACGTTGCTTTCACACATAGGTGCAGTGGTGGGAGCTGAGTTTCCTTCCTCCAAGGCGGATAGGATCTTGGCGGAGCCACGCAAACACATTGGCCTATGTTGGTACTTCAAGGAGGGAAAGTTGTGCGCGGCTTGCCCACAAGTGGATCCTCGGAAGTGGCAGATCAGCAGGCCTGTCACTAAGAGGGAAGTGTTCAGACTATGTGGGCTGGCACCCGATGTCCTTTGTCAGCATCCTGAAAGGTCGCTGATATTTGATCTATTACGGTCATGGTCCGGTGCATTTGGTGTAGCTACTGACAGGTCATCCTGGGATGAACCACTGCCTCTTGATGACGCGGATTTCCAGACGTTACAGTGTCTGATTGATCGAATTAAGTCCCTCTCAGGCACCTGCGAACACACCAGCTGGGCCGACGCTACTGAACTTCATGGTTTTACTGACGCTTGTGACGAAGGGTATGGATGGTCTATTCAGACCCCTGATGGCGGGGTGGTTTTGGAAAAGTGCAAGCGTTTCCCACTAACGCTGAAATGGCATACCAACCGCAAGGAGCTATATGCGGTGACTGATATGGTAAAACAAC